TTCTGCTTTCTACTTTCCTCAGGGCTTCATTTTCAATTTGAGTTGAATACTCAATTTAATTTCAAAAAAGTTAAATAATGAACATGTTTTCCTTTGAGTGGTTCTGACAGTATCAAACAGATTTCAATTTGTTGCTATATTCTTATTATTTTCTACTATTTTATAATTAAAATTTGATTTCTTTTAGCCAAGAATTATTTAGAAGTGTTTTAAATTCTAAAAAAAGTGAGTTTTTCTTTCCATTTTCATTATAAATTTCTAGATTCACAGCACTGATGTCAATGAATGTCAACTATTAGATTATTTCTACTTCTTGTAATCTGAGGTTTTCTTTTGTGACCTAGTACCTGGTCAATCTTAATAAATATTCTAATGCAGAGAAATCATCATGATTTACTTAGATCTTATACATCCCTAATTTTGTCTATTTGTTCTAGTAAGGATTGAGAAAATTATACTAAAAAATATCATTTTTACTTTGCTTCACAATTTCTTCTTTTATTTATTAAAGTTTCAACTCTGTCACAGTTATTTAGCATAAGGGGTCACAGCAGTTCTATTTCTTTTTTTTTTTGGTCTTTTTCCGTGTTCGGCAACGGATCGCAACCCTCAGTGTCGCCCCCGGACCGGACCGGGACCGGCAACGGGATAGCAGCCCTCGGTGTTGCTCCCGCACCTTGCTCAGCCAGTGAGCGGGAACCGGTCTGTATGTGGGATCCGAACCCTCGGCGGGAGCGCCACCGCACTTCCCAAGCGGCGCACTATAGCAGTGCGCCACCGGGCCAGCCCACAGCAGTTCTATTTCTATGAATGATTACAGATACCACTAAAGCCACTCTGTTTATCCTGGCTTTTGTCTTCAATTCAACTTGCTAACTTTTACTTCAGCTAGAAATTAAGGTGTACATATGTTCTAAACAGCATTCATTAACCATTCCCTTAACTCATATTCATATAAAGAAGCAAACAAGTGTTATTTACTAAATAGTATGTTGAAAGCAGAGGCTTTCTCTTGAGGCTGGCTCTTGATTCTCAACAAGAACATATATGAAATTCTCTAAGAGAAGAATGGTCAGTAATTACAATGAAGAAAGAAGAATGAGTTGGGGTGGGCCAAGGGGCAAAAAGCAGAAGACTGGCCTTTATTAGCACCCCTCTTTCCTACTTTCACTCCAGTTTCTTCTTCTACCAGTTTCCCAAGTCTTTTCATTTTACTGACGTTAAATAGACTGCTTTATTTAGAAAACCTTATTAAAATTTTATTTTCTGGGGCTGGCCAGTTAGCTCGGTTGGTTAGAGCACAGTGTTATAACACCAAGGTCAAGGGTTTGGATCCTTGCACAGGCCAGCCACCAAAAAAAAAATTTTTTTTTAATTTTCTATATTCTCAGATATTTTACTGCTTAAAACTCTAGATCCAGGTTACAATCTTTTCCAAAATTATCTTCAATTAAAATACTAGGGTACTTCAAAAAGTTCATGGAAAAATAGAATTAAAAAATATGAATCCTTCTGTGAACCTTCTGAAGTACCTTCTTATATACTAAGCAGCAGCCAATAATTTATACTGTGTGTGTGGCAAGGGAGGGGACTGGAGACTGAGTGGAAGAGAGACAGAAAAGGAGGAAGACATAATATTATAGACTTTTTAAATATACTTTTTAAAAATAGTTCTTGATTTTTGAACAATGTGGACTTATTCTATTTTTAAAAATGTAAAAATTAGAAATTTAAAAATTGTATAAAAAACAAAAGTTTAAAATTTAGAATACTACCTACCAGTCATATTTTCATCCAATGGTAGAGAGACTCCTACATCACAGATTTTAATTGTTTCAAAATCACCTTTAATTACAACATTTGAAGACTTTATGTCTCCATGAAGCAGTTTCTTTTCTTGGTGCAGATACTAAAATAGTAAAAAATTTAACATATGATTATAAATGCAAACTAATAAAAAAATATGATAACTTTCAAATAAAAACAATGATTTGAACTCCCTTCCTAAACTACAGGTTTGTATTTGTCCATTATTTGAAGCCAAAGAGGGAATATCCCATGTTATCTCAGTCTGCCATACTAAACAGAAATCTAAAAGATTCTTTACAGATAAATGTCTGTTTTTTTTTGTTTTTGTTTTTTTTGTCTTTTTTCGTGTCCGGCAACGGATCGCAACCCTCAGTGTCG